CCCTCCCTACCCTCCCCCCTCGCCCACGCCCCCGTCCTTTCGCAAAAGGCCGGCCAACCAGGGACCTCCCAGGAGAGGAGCAGTGATTACTCGGAGACAGAAGATGGAGTCAGCAACCAAGTCATGATAATGGATCTGACAATGTATATTGGATTGTGGAGAGTAGATAATAGACGGAATCCTACTGCTGGTGTGACTGGGACGGTGGGAACAGATGCACTCTTGGGTGGATAGATGAAGTTCTGGGTGGGTAGGGATTGTGGCTGGCCAAGGCTGCCCCTCACAGTTACATGGAGACCAGGTATCAGGTGGAATGCTGCAATCAGGACCTAAGGGCTTAAGGGTTTAAGAGCGAAAAGACCTGGCAATAGGTGAAACGACGGCCAACAGGTGTTTAGGGACTAACGGAATCACTAGTGGACGATCAGAGTCAGAAACAGGGAGCATGAACTGGGTGAACTGGGTGGAGACAAAAGTGCAGCCTGGACAATGAGGATCACGGACAGGGAGCATGACTAGTTAGGCTTTGTCTGATAGGACCTGCCTGTTAAATAACTGACTCATATGCAGGCGTATACCACAGATCACACACTCTCGAATATACTCAGCCACACCTTATACAACACAGCGAACTAGGAAATAAACATTACACTCACATACTATGAGCCATTGGGTGCTGGCACAAGTACATCTACAGATAGTTATAGACATAACAGAACACGTTCATAAGCATATAGATGATAACTGATAGTCAATACGCCATGGTAAGGTCGGGCTCTTTGCCGCCTGGCCCCCGCATGCACATTGACAACTCTTGCTTGGCTTATCCATCACATTGTACATTACAGGGACGGAGGGCCGGATTCCCAGCAGGTGCTGCACCCCACCAATAGATGGAGCCTCCCCGAAGGTGCTGGTGGTGTCTGCTCCTATCAGCGGCCCCAGCAACTGCTCGGGTTGTTCTTTATATATATCGTCAAATAGAACTGCCCGGTAAACCGTAGGCAGAGAGGGAGAAGAGGACAACAAACGAGGGGCTGTGACATATATATATATATATGTATATACATATGGCTGTCCCCCAATGAGGAGAAGGCAGCTTATATATAAAAAAAAAGAATAACAATGCAAACCACTTTTGCCTTAGACTCATGTCAGAATTCCTAACCAAACTTGAGTTAAAAGTCAAAACCTATAAAAAAGTTAAAAAACTTAAAAAAAGACTTTAAATTTTAAAAAGTAATGAATTTTAATTATTAATAATTGAAAACATGGATATGTCTAATAAATTATTATAGAGGAAGACCATGTCCGGACCCCCCAAGAAAACAAAAACGGGCCTGAGAACCCCCCAAAACAATGTTGGGGGCTTGGCTCCTCAGTGGGGAAGGGTCCTGGACCGTTCCTCCCCCCCCCCCCCCCCCCCCCCCCCCCCTTGAAATTTGGCAGATCCGGGCCTTCCGGAACGGACGTCTGGAGTCCGGACTAAATCCAGACCGTCTGGAAGGCGGTCCGGACGTCCGGATTGTAGCCATGATGCTTACCCATCTGCCTCCCACAGATTTGCAAGGATCACATAAGTGATCCTATGGCTCAGATCATCAACATCAAATCTACCAACATTTCAGAGAGTGTCAATATAAACTCAGGGCATACTCACACGGCGACCCCAAATCCGCTAAATATGCGGATTTGGGAACTGGAATAGTACACTTGCGAATTTGGTAGATCCGTGTGACCGGCCTTTTCCCCTTTTTTTTTGGGATTTTGGGATTATAGGTCCCCGTTTGAGTATGCCCTCAGACAGAGTAGGTGACGAGGGAGAGAGAGAGAGAGAGAGAGAGAGAGAGAGAGAGAGAGAGAGAGAGAGAGAGAGAGAGAGAGAGAGAGAGAGAGAGAGAGATGCATGTCTCCGAGTCCATTCGATTTTGCTACAAAACCAAGAATCGGCAGTGCAGAATTCACCAGAAGCCGAAGGGGAAGAACGTTAAACAGGGTAAGTTAATTAAAAAAAAACACACAAAAAGAAGAAAGAGAGGGAAAGAACTTGTCAAAGGGTTCCCTTATTTTTCCTGGACCATTGCAGTGGTGTCCGAGCACTCTCTCAAGTCAGGAGACTCTGGCATAGCCACAAAGGACAATCTCTGGCAACGCTTACCGGATGCTTCTCCGCAGTCCCATCACGATAGACCTGTGGGAAAAAAAGAAAAAAGAAAAAAAAAATACTGACGATCAAAACCGTATCTATGTCCGCACTTAAGGGCATGGTTGCAAATTGCACTTCAGACATCAGGGCAGGGCCAGCAGACATCCTGACCGTCTGACCTAACATCCGGACACAGGGCAGCTGAACAACTGCGGTGAGGAGATTCGAAAAATAACCGTGGCGGCACCCCAATCCCCTCGTCCAGGGCCTAAAATGCCCCCAAAAATGTTCTGCCCTTTGACAGGGCCCAGAACTGGCATCAGAACCAGAAGGATGAGACTTCTGTGCTGCTTTTCTCAGGGCTTCATGTTTGTGACAGAGGTATTCATTTGTTATTCACATTTTATCGCCAGTCCTGATGCTATGAGTAACTACTGTTGCTGTTGGTGTTGCTGTTGCTGCTCTCTTCTTGATGCTGCTGCTAATTCTGCAAGCCTGCTGCTGCTACAATGCTGCTGAGGTGTTACGGCACCGCTGCTTCTGCTGACCTGCAGCTGAGCTGCTGGTATCCCCCAACTGCTGCTGCAGCTGGACTGGGAAGTCGTGCCAAATGCAGCTGTAATGACCGGGCATTCTATTCGCGTGAAGACGGTAGTGGTTCAACTGCTGCTGACCTGGCAGACCTGCCGTGGTAATGCTGCTGCAGCTGCTACTGAGCCGCTGCTGCTCGTACAGCTGCTGAGCTGCCGCTATACTGTTACTGACCTGAAACAGCACGGCTGCTGCATCTGCTGCACATCTGATGTTGTGGCACCTGCTGCTTGATACGCTGTGCAGCCACCACTTCATGGATGGTTCCGAATGCTGTTTCACTCCGGCGGCATGGCCGTTGCTGTTGCTGCTAAAGGTTGTCAAAGGCGAGGAGGGTACAGCAGCGGTGGAGATGGTGGCTCCATCACGGTAAGACTTGCCGGAGTAGGGCTGAGAGGGATTTTTGTGGGATATCTGCAACCAGTGCCTGATACGAGGTTTGGGGTGGCTTTATTGTGTAGATTGCGAAGTTGTCATTCTTAGCCTACGCCGGGTAATGGGCCCGGTATTTCGAAGATTTTTCCATAAATTTCTCAAAAAAAAAGAAAATTCTTCTAAGGCTTGGTACTGGTGGCAGGGGGTTGTGGTGGCTGTGATGGCGGGAGAGGACTCGCTCCGCCGCGAAGGGGCTAGCCTGCAGGGTTGAAATAGGGTATAGCAGCGGTGGAGATGGTGGCTCCATTGCGGTAAGACTTGCCGGAGTAGGGCTGAGAAGGTTTTTTCGTGGCATATCTGCAACCAGTGCCTGAAAGATGGATGATCGGATCTACAGCTATGGTGCTGATTGGTGGCTTGACTGGTATCTGCCGTCGTCCCGAGTCCCGGGGGTTGGCGAATAGACGAGGCCAGAACGATGCTGGCCAGGTGCTGGGGCTTGGTCGCGCTGCCCTGTAACTCGAGCTGTACGAGGGCATGAGATCTGGTAGACAGATCTGGGGAGTGTCTTTTGGTGAGCTGGTGCCTAGTCAACGCTGGCCGGAGCTGGGGCGGGTCACGTTGCCCTGTGGCCTAGCAGGTGGGGGGTTTCTGGGGTGGGTCGTGCCACTCTGTAACCTAGCAGTTGGGGGCGTGAGGCTTGGTAGAGATTGGGCATCGGGGTATAGGGGTGAGGCAGGTAGGGTTGGGCTGCTGAAAGGCACCAACGCAGGTGGTTTTTTTTCAGTCTGAATTCTCCTGTCGGCCAAGGCTCGAAAAACGAAAGGGCCCGTTTGAATTTAGTGCTGCATAGATGTCTGTCTTTTTTCCATTAGCCCCTTCGAGGCTGTTTCATTAGTACTCGGTGCAATTTGTTCTCAGACTTTTCTCAGCCGAAGCCGGGTAATGGCCCTGGTGCTTTAATACTTGTGTATTTTGTACTATTTTCATATGGGATGCTGGGCCCGGTTCCCAGCACGTGCTGCTCCCCACGAATAGATTGGAGCATTTTGTCCCAAGAAAAAAAAAAAAAAAAAAGGAGTGGTTGGGAAGATACCGCTGTTAAAAAAAAAAAGGGGGAAAAAAATTGGGCCTGGTTTATGTCCGCTTTGCGTTGAAAATCCGGGCACCTGGATGCCAGCTGCTCAAAGCTTCACATAACATCTTGTTGGGGGCATAACAACAGACTGGCAGTGCTTTCGTCGATGCATTTGACCATAATAATAGTCAAATTCACATGACAAGGTTCCAGTGTGCGCCTGCTACGCTTATCAGACGATCACGGCCATGTCCAGACCAGATAACAAATCAGTATGATAGGACTGTGTGCCCCATTCCTGACACCCTGCAGAAAGCAACCTTCTTCCCTCGAATACAACGTACGGTCATTATAGCCGTATTGGGGTATCTTTCAGTCTAAATACAGCTATAATGACCGTACGTTGTATTTGGGGGAAGAAGGTGGTCTCTAGTCTGGCCTTTCTACTAGTCTATTTTGACCCCTGAATTCATCTACATGTTTGTCTACATTGGCCTTAAAGCACCAGTACACCACACATCCGCCCGCGGGTGTCAACACGAAACCCGCACAACTTCGGAGGCCGCCCAATTTTTTTTTTTCAACGGCGCCCCACGCCGCGCGGCCCCTCCGAGTTTTGTTTGTGGCGACAAAAAACTTTCTGCAAGGCTGGGGCCGTGTACGTGCGGTTTAAAGCACCAGTACATGGGCACCTGGGCTGCGGGCCCGACACCTCAAATCCTGGCGGCACGGAACAAAAGCGCGACCAAAGATCGAATTTATCAGCGGCGGGCCCAGCATTTGACGTTTTGGCCCGTTTTCTTGTGGTGACAAGTTTGGGACTGCAAGGCTGGGGGTGTGTACTTTGTGGTTTAAACCACCAGTACCTCCACGTTTTTAGGCCGTTAACGCGGTGGCTGAATCGGTGCGCCTCGTGGGTCCATATGCATTTGCGTCAGAGCCTCCCCAGAGGGGGCCTTAGACCCCCTGGGGTACTTTGTGGTCTAACCATTGGCTACTACTCTACGCATGGCCTTGAAGTTGGTGAAGTCGGTCCACTTTGAGCTACCGTCTTCACCCGAATAAAACGCGCCCGGTCACTATCGCTGCACCTAGACAGAAAACTGCCCCAGATACGGCTATAATGACCGTGCGTTCTATTCGGGTGAAGACAGTAGTCGTCGGCCACTCTAGTATGACTTCAAAGTTGCTCAAGTCCGTCCGTCAACTTTGACCTGAAAGGTTATCTACTTTGCCTTAACAAACTGCCCGCATTATTACAGGCTTAAGACATGGTATACTTTTTGCCCTTACTCAGAGTTACTCTGCCATTTATATAACATTAATTAAAGTCGAGTCAGTCTATGACAAGACTTTGGTCTCCACCTCAAACCATCATTACTTCCAACAGCACCCTCAACTTGAAGTTGCGGCCATACACACGGGGAAGCAGCAGATTGGCTGCGCAGAGGGGTGCAGAGGCGGCTCAGGGCTGTGTCGTGCGTACCCATCAAATCAGTTCCATGCCTAGGACAAAGAGCAGCCATATGCCTCTGCCCTAAGGCCGTGCACGAGGGCGTCGAGCGCCCATCATTGCCAAACGAAAAGGTGTGCGCTTGCCGTTTCGCCCAACCAACAGGCTTTCATCACCACCACCACCACCAATGCTCATAAGGCCTGGTAGTCAGGCCTCGGAAATCTCCTTACGTTCCAAACACAAAATAGGCTCCGCAGTCCGGAGCCACGGCAAAAAGTTAACAGGGGGTAGACGACGCAACAGATATTCTGAGGACAGGGGCGGAGTCAGATCTGACAAATCAACGGACTTGCCGGATGTTGATGTTGATCCGCGATTGCCTTATATACCCCCGGAAAGGCGAGAACCAGGGCTCGTCAAAACCTCTTATCCCCTTGCTACGATTGACTTGTGGACCATCATCGTCCGTGAAGATCCGAGGGACACCATGGTAGCAATGTCTGGCATGCCCAGCCATCAAGACAACATCACCACTCCTCAGAATCATAGCTGTCGGAGGATCCTCCCGCGATTCTCCACCAATAAGGAACACGGCTGACAGGCCTAGACTTAGGCTCACAATTGGTTTGCTCAGATCTCCCTCCATATCGTCCAAGTGACCTCCCAAAGTGTCATCTGGACCATAGAAATTGACGATGGCTGCCTCTGCTCGAAAGCCATGGCCACTCTCTTGTGCACGCCCACCATCGTTTTCATATTCAAGTGCTGGTCTAGCCAGCGTTGAAGCGAGCACGGTCAAATGCTCAGGGAAATCTCCTCTAGGAAGAGTGAAATCGTACCCTTTCCTCCCCCAATCAAATTGAATCCCCACTGTCGCCCATCGCAACTTCCTTAACAAGACTTTCGCCGGCACCACGTCCTTAGAACCAGACACTCCTGCTCTGTGCCCCCTCTCCTCGTCGTCCTGCACCTCCACCCTCTCCTCCTCCTGTTTTTCCTCTGCAGTCCTGCTCGTCCCTGGCACGTCACCTGCTCTGATGGTGCCACAATCACCTCTTTGTCCAGACCTACTTCGTGCAGCGTCACAAGCCTTGATACTGACAGATGGCTGCGGTACAAACTTCCACGTTGTCACTAGACGAGTGTCGGCTTCTCGCGATTCCCCACCAACCCCCTCCGCTTGGCTAGCAGATGTCGACGCATCCCCCGCAACTTTATCCTGATGTCCATCAGGTTCGGTAGACTCGGAATTACTGCTAATCAGCTCATCACCGTTACATTCTCCACCCTCCTGTTTTCCCTCTTTCAGATTGTTACCTGCCGGCACATCCTTGCCAGCAAGCGTGACAGTAGCAACAGAAGCAGCAGCCGCTGTAGACGCAGAAGCGAAAGCATCAGTAGGAGGAGGACCCTGAGGAGGTGGTTGTTGAGGAGCTGGTTGTACTTGGGAGGCGAAAATGCTCTTGACTTTGTCATCAATCACAGTGCTCTCTGCATTATGAGGGAAGTTCTCGTTACCCGGGAGTTGCTCGTGACAGAAGAGATGGCTGGTATGGACAAGTACGCAGTCCTGCTGTGCGTTCTCCCAGAGATCGCGCAGTGGACCATAGAAAGGATTGTGATTCGTCCGGTTCGGCGGCTGTGGAAACTGTGTCAGGCTCTGCTTGACCAGATGAGCTTGCTGTGTGGGTGTCAGAGCATGTGAGAGGAAGTAGAAGCCTGGATGTTTGTCAATCGTGAAGACAGGCCAGTCGTAGTCCCCCTTCAGGCGTCGAATCCCTTGCCGGACGGCATCGACATCAGCAGCACGGCCATTGCTCTCTTCCAAAAAGCCTTCCCCTTCAAGCTCAAGAAAATCGATAACTTCTGACATATCTGTCCTCGGTATATCCACACCATATTTGGTATTGGGAGTGTGATTACCTCCTCCTCCACCTCCTCCTCCTCCTCCCCCTCCACCTCCTCTTCCTCCCTTGCCCCTTCGACTGCGCCGCGCAGTAGCTGGTTCTTTGTAGCGTTTGTACTTCTTCTCAGCCTGTCGGAATGCTGTTCTGCTGTCTGCTCCCTCTTGAGCTTCAACGTAACCCATTGCTTCACATGCGTAGGATATTCTCCTTGTTCTCCTCCTCCTCCTCCTCCTCCACGTCCTCCAGGGGAGCTCTATGGTCCACTGTTCAAACAACGTCACATGAAGTTTCTTTTCAGTCTTACCACTTCACTTTATCGATCTCTCTGCGTTCTTGTAATTTCCACAGAAACCGTCACAGCACTAGAACACATATATTCTCCCCGCTCCCCACCATCTTCCCGCGAACACAGTGCGCACCCTCATCATGACTGTACCGCACTTGACAGAGCGTGTATACGCATGGGTAAGGTGATTTGTGTTAAGGGAACAACGATAGCAGTGTTCTATTTTTAGTATGAAAACAAATACACCTGGTACTGTCCAATTTTTAGTATCAAGCAAGGGACCCATGGATCAATGGACTTGACGTATCATTGGACCTGCTGATCGAGGGACCAATCGATCAATCATTGGACCTGTGGGTGAATGGGTATGGATAAATGGACCTAGGGATCAATGGGTATGGATAAATGGACCTGTGGATCAGTACTGGTAAGACCGAACTGCCCTGGGGATCGATGGATGGGTGTGCATAAATGGACAAATGGAATAATGGATTTGRGGATATATATAAATGGACCCAYGGACCTATGGACCAATGGATGAATGGACCCATGGATCACCAGATCAATGGACAGGGATGAATAGACCACTGGATCAATGGGTAGGAACAATGGGTATGGATAAATGGACCTGTGGATCAGTACTGGTAAGACCTCTTATACACATCTAGATGTGTATAAGAGACAGGCCCTGGGGATCGATGGATGGGTGTGCATAAATGGACAAATGGAATAATGGATTTGGGGATATATATAAATGGACCCACGGACCTATGGACCAATGGATGAATGGACCCATGGATCACCAGATCAATGGACAGGGATGAATAGACCACTGGATCAATGGGTAGGAACCAGTGGGTACAGATAATCAACACCTGCATCCATGGATATGAGAACACAGACCTTCGGATCAATGGAGAAAAAGGTTCTAATTGGATGTGACTTAAACCATCAGTACTTGGCCCATACATTGGCCGCGGGCCCCTCAATGCGACTTTCGGAGGCCCGAAACGCGACAAGCGCCGCCGCTGAAATTTGGCCCCGAAAGTTGCGGCCGTTAATGAGCCGCCACTCTTGTTTTTCAAGCCGGGAAATGTACTGGTCGTTTAAGGGATATGGATCAGTTATGAACGGTGAAGGACGGACCGAGTGTTACAGAGAGAGGGATGAACAGATTGATTGATTGATTGAATCCAGTGACAAAGAGAGATTAGAAAACAAGAGCCGAATTCTCTAGAATTAAAAGAGAGCTTGTCCTTTTGCAGGCAGCATGACATCCAAGAAGGACATTGACCGATTTGCCAGAAACTAATGAACAGATGAGCTCACATAATGCATACTGTCCATATCGATGATCTATACTCAAAGGGGAGCTCATCTGTTCATTATCTATACTCAAAGGTGAGCTCATCTGTTCATTATCTATACTCAAAGGTCAGCTCAACTGTTCATTACCTATACGCAAAGGTGAGCTCATCTGTTCATTCATTTTGTTTCTAAAAAATCGCAAAGAAAACAATGAGCTCACGGAGTAGATGTGTGAAGCGTACCATCTTCACCCCAATAGAACGCACGAACATTATAGCTGCATTTTGGCCAACTTTCAGCCTAGATACAGCGACAACGAACCTTCATTCTATTCAGGTGAAGACAGCAGTGTTATGATCCTGGCTATCTTGAAGTGCAAGGGTTGCAGTCGTTATAAGACTTAACCCAACATCTCATGACACGAGCTGACAACAGCCATGCAGCACCTGTATGAAGTCAAAATACATCTCTTACAAGGAGTTTCTTTCATATGTCGAGGACTGGTAAGGTTTTGAGCGTTGTATCAAATTAAACAGCATGCTCCACCGCTTGTGCCTGCATGCCTCGCTGCCTGCTTGCTTGACTACTTCCCTGCCTGCCTGCCTACCTGCCTACCTCGATCTGCTTGCTTGCTTGCCTACTTCCCTGCCTAACTGCCTGCACCCGGGCCTGTGCACCCGGGCCAGGGGCCCGACCTGCACCTTTCCCCAAAGAAAAAGGGCCTGGGCCTGGGCCTCGCCCTTTGTCGTGGGCCTGGGCCTGTGGTGGCTCAGGGTCCGAAACTTGGGCCTGTGTCCCGGCCCTGTGCATGGTCTCCGGCCTGATCAGACACACACACACACACACACACACACACATGTTCTGCAGCCGACACGGGCCTGCATGGCCTGCCTGCCTGCCTGCCTGCCATTCTGCAGTGTCCTTGCATGCTTGCCTGCCTGCTTGTCTGTCTGTATGCGCACCCACCTGCCTGCCTGTTTGCTTGCCTGCTTCCCTGCCTGCCTGCCTACCCCACTCTGTTTGCTGGAGCATGCCTGTGTGGCTGCACCCGGGCCTGGGCCTGACCTGCATACCTGAATCTGGGGGTCTGGGCCAGGAAGGACGAACAAATGTGCCGGGCTGTGGAGCAGGGCTTAGCGTTGAGGGTTGTGTGTGTGCGTGTGTGTGCGTGTGTGTGCGTGTGTGTGTGTGTGTGTGTGTGTTATAGATTTTCCCCACAACAGCCTCAATTCCACCCAGCTGAATAGATTCAGAGTCAAAGCAGTCTTTGTCCTATTGCAGACAACAAGAGCATTTGAGATGTCCAACATATTAAAGCAATTTTACAATTAGACAGTTTTTTGGCTGTCCTTGGGGTACCCCTTTCATTGTTCTTGCAGTTCCCCTTTTACTGTGCCTCTTACACACAAGGCTGCCCACGTTGATTGTGGTTGAGCGGCAGCTGCCCACATCCACGTGTGCCTTCAAGGCCCACTTGCACGTTATTTCAGGAGGCAGAGTAAAAGGGAAGGTATGCTCCTGTGCATTTCTCTTCAGAGCTTCATACTCCTGTTCATTTCACTTCAGATCTTCAGCTTATACAGTCTTTGTGTCTGTCTTTCATCTTCATACTTCCATTCATTTCATTTCTGATCTTCATATTGTCTGTTCTCTTAATGATACTCATTCGTATTTATTTGTTAGTAGCACAAAGGGAGTGGAGGAGAGGGTGGAGGGTAAGGGATAGAAGGCGGAGTTCTATAGGAGTATGGGCCATGGGAGGTAGGGGCAACAGGAAGGAAAAATATATGTGGAGGGCAGGATAGAGTATGACATGCAAAGAACAGGGGAGAGGTGTATGACGAGCTTCACAGAATTCTAAATATTCACCGCCGAAACAGACTAGCAAAAAAAAACCTTATGGCAAGTGGCCACCCCTACAGACTGGACAGGACCGGTTCGGGTGTGGGCTATGGAAGCACTGCATCCAATTTTCGCAGTCACAGTTGCTGCATCGAATGGCACGGTGCAGACAGATGTCACAGGCTACGTGGCTCGTACATGCCAGGAACACAGAGGCACGTCGACCGCAATTATAGAGGCACTGCCATTGCAGCCCCTGTCTACAAATTGGACATGACATGTCAGGGTGCCGTACATGAGTACAGTACTGACTGTCATTCGCATGCACTATCCCTTCATAATCCTCACGGCACAAGGCATTCGAACCACATGCTAGTTGAATCTCCGGCGGGTCATCACAAAGCGGCATTGAGAGTGTGTGTGTGTGTGTGTGTGTGTGTGTGTGTGTGTGTGGTTGTGTGTGTGTGTGTGTGTGTGTGTGTGTGTGTGTGTGTGTGTGTGATAGGATACTTCGGAGAGAGAGAGAGAGAAAGAGAGAGAGAGAGAGAGAGAGAGAGAGAGAGAGAGAGAGAGAGAGAGAGAGAGAGTGAGCCGTGACTAAGAAGCTCGCCACACAGGCTGTCGAAACTCAAAAAGTTTCGACAGGTGTCAGAAAAAATTTGAAAGTCAGCGGTCGACAGTTTACCCCCCCTTCGCCACACGGGCTGTTGAAACTCAAGGATTGCTCTTCGAGTGCAAACGGACTCGGACTTTCGACATCCCCTGTGTGGCGAAGGATCCCACCTGTCGAAAGTTGTTAACCCCCCCCCTTCGCCATCTTTGTGGGACCTTCGGGAACAGGATGTCCGAGGCCGCCACGCTGTTTTCGACAGCAGCTGTCGACCACAACGGGACAAAGCGGGCACAGCTGTCAGCTTTGACGCTCTGACAACGGAAATTCTCATGCTTTTTTCGAAAGGCGGGCAGGACACTTTCGATTTTTTGGCTGCTGCAGGCGGGAGGAAACGAGTGCTCGCGGGCGACAGTCGATAGTCGAATTCTGACACCTGTCGAAGTTTTTGTAGCAGCCAATTTTCGCAAGTTGGTGTGGCGATGCAAAACTGTCGAAAATGGCGTTTTCAACAGTCCGTGTGGCGAGGCCCTAAGGCCAAGACCCAGGCCCAAACGTTGGTTTCTTTACCGTCTCTCAACTGATGACTACATGGCCTGCCAGATTGCTGTGATATGCTGGAATCATCGAGTAATCATGATAACCTGCAAGCTTGGCGCCCGCCGCCTAGAGATAGGCCGTTGGTGCCCCGGAGTGACATTGAGCAGAGACTGCTGATGAGGCACAACGACTGGCCCATCGAAGAAACTCAGTCCTGATGCTACCGGCTGACCCCTGGCTGGTATCACCCACCTGCTGTAGCACGTATCTCACCTGCTGGTGGGAGCTGCCAGTGGGTGCAGCTCCCGCATGTTCCCTCATTGGAGGCTTGAGCACGGATGTGGCTGCTACGGGGTTCCTGTAATACTATAATGACAATAAGAGAAGGGCTGAAAGGCCGTCGTGTCCAGATTCGACAGGTAATTGAATTGGTTGGGCTTAAATGAATTAGCCTTACAAAAACAAAAACAAAAAAAAACAAAAAAAAAAAACCCTGGTAGAACAGACAATTGACGCGAATGGCCATTGGCTCAGTGGTTAGCACCGGTTGAAATCCACAATGTGGTATGAGGTTGCAGGTTCAAAACTCCGTTGCCTCACGCATGGTCACGGGTAAGCCTTTTCATAACGCACAGGCCATTCACACACACCCCTTGGGACAACCCATGGTAAGATTTATACAGACACTGCCTGCACACGGCCCAGGGGGTCTTGGTCCATGGTTGTAGTATGCTGGATAGCCATAGGGAGTGCTTGAGTGCTTGGTCTTAGGGGGTCTGAGAATCAGGGTCTTATCTTGGCTCCACCATGGGGGGGCGGGGGAGGGATAAACATATTGCTTGTGGTCATTGTGAGCCAGGTTAGGGTAGATTAAAGGGGGAGGTTTTACTGCCTAAACTGTCCATAACCGAAAAACTGCCTAGACTGTCCATAACCACAAAAGTGCCTACAGCTAGCATGTTTCCCGTTGCCTAGACTGTCGATAACCACAAAACTGCCAACACTGCCGAAACCGTCGATACCTCTGCATGGTCACTTGGACCCTCCGATCTGTCAGTCTTGCCAGTACTTACTAGTCCGTGGGGGTGCCATGGTCGAGCTCGGTACAGCTAGCATGTTTCCCGTCACTATGGCCCCCGTACGCGAGTCCACACAGAGCGAACTTACACTACGGTAGGGCCCATCTCGGGGGAGATCATCCTACGCACACAGAGCGAACTTACACTACGGTCGGGCCCATCTCGGCGGAGATAATCCTACGCACACAGAGCGAACTTAGACTACGGTAGGGGCCATCTCAGGGGAGATAATCCTACACACACACTGGGTGTTAGTATGGGGTAAGTACTGGGTACTTCTCATCCCACCGGTCTCTCACAATGCCTGCGGGTGGTGCTTCATCCAGGTTGGGGTCCAAGGGAATTCCCATTTGGGGGGAATTTTTCTGGTTCTATACAGTCTGCCTCCCAGTGGGATGCTGGGGGGTCTCTAGAGTTAAATCAGTGAAATAGCTACTACAAGTACAGCCGACAGGCAGATTATTCCTCAAAAGATCATTCCTATAAGTCTGCAGATTCGAGTAAGTGGGATAGCTGTTATATGTAGGGCAGACAGGCAGACCTTTTCTCAAGAGCCTTTCATAAAGCCCTGCTCAGTCAATCCCCTGGAATCCAGGGTAATCAATGCTGGCAGGCACCCTTGTCAAGTCTCTTTTGACTCTTTCATCCTGTGCCAGGGACAATGGACCCGCTTTCCAGCAGGTGACGCTCCCCACCAATAGATGGAGCCCCCCCCGGTTGGTAGTGATGCATGCTCTTATCAGCATCACTAGCACTGCAGGCGGTGTGTTTTTCAAAAAAAAAAAAAAAAAAAAAAAAAAAGTCCGCGGACTGTGGATTCTTAGGGAGCCTGGGGTAGGAAGGTATCATGCTTATAGCCTTATAGGATAGGGGAGGGCGGGGGGCTATAGCATCTTAGGGGAAGGGCAGTTCGCTGCACATGGAGTCTGTGGGATGAGGCACAGATGGGGGATGACTGCATGTGCATGGACCCCACCCACCTCTGCCCAGGCCGTCCTTAACACTACCGTCGTCACCCGAATAGAACGCCGGGTCATTATTGCTGTATTTGACGCTTTCAGTCCAGATACGGCCATAATTACTGGGCGTTCTATTCGGGTAAAGATGGTAGAGTTAGCCTAGTGTCTGCACGAAGACGTCCCGGTTAGTCAGGTACGCATTGGCGCAGATCACGACTTGCCATCTGATGAGCATTAGCATATGGGCCATGGTACCATCATGGTGCCATGCTGAGGTGACTTCCCCTGGGCCCTGGGTCCTCCCAATCAGTCTGACCTCCCAATGGATGATTACTCCGGGCACCTCCTGAGGCCTGGGGCAAGGTCCCACTTGCACAGATTAAGAGATTCTGGCCGTTGATCTTTGTTATCTACGGTCAATGTCGGTTGATTCGTGTAAGTGGGACCTAGCCCCTGGCCACCACCCTATACTACCCCCTGGACCTTTTTTGGGGGGGCCAAAAAAAAAAAAGAACAGACATCCGACGTCACAGGGGAGTAAAGTCATAGCGGCTCGGATGTCCTGGACAGGACCTGACCTACCGGGCTTTCACGGTCATCTCACTGCGAAGTCCATCCAGACTGCCTGGTCCGTTGTAGGTGGGTGCTCTTTTAGCCCTCGCTCCCAACTCCTAGCCTCATACATGAACCCTTTCTTCTCTTCTCCTACTTCCTCTCTGGCTGTCGTCTTCTCGTCGCCCCCTTCTCTCTCCTCGACCTCGTAGCTATCTGATCTCCTAGGTTCACTACCGGTCTGTCTGACCCCCTCCCGCTTACCTCCCTCCCTCCCTCCCTCTCTCTCCTCTCTCTCTCTCTCTCTCTCTCTCTCTCTCTCTCTCTCTCTCTCTCTCTCTCTCTCTCCTCCGTCTCACTCTGTGTGTGCTGTCATGTTCGTTAACACAACTCCACAAAAAAGCACAACCGTGCCAGACTGTTTCATCGGACTTTCTCCGACTCATCAGGAGGTTGAACCACCACCCTGTATGTGCGTGTGGGTGTGGGTGTGGGTGTGTGCGTGGGTGCGTGTGTGCCTGTGTGCGTGTGTGCGTGTGTGCGTGTGCGTGTGGGTGCATGCGCGCGTGTGTGGGTGCGTGTGTGTGCATGTGTGGGGGTGTGAGTGCGTGCGTGCGGGTGTGCGTGCGTGCGTGGGTAAGAGTGCGTGCGTGCGTGTGTGGGCGCGTGCGCGCGTGCGTGCGTGGGTGTGAGTGCATGCGTGTGTGTGTTTTACTGATATGGCTTGTTAGCCGGCCGTTAGCCGGCCGTTATAGTCGCCGTTCACCTGTAGGGGAAAAACAAAAAAGTGTCCGCATACATGCAGCAAGATCTCTTTTTGTCGTTGATTTTTTTTTCCCCCCCTAAGCAAAGTTCACACACCGACGTAGAGGACGTACGTTCCTGACTGTGTGCGCTCTCGGCACCAAGATGGAGGGTATTCTTAGGTTATGACTTTGGATGATGCATCTAACCGTAATGACGGCCAGAACCAGTTCAGAAAGTCTCGGTGTGAGTATGCACTGTACTTGCCATGTTCCAGCGGAAAATTCTTTTACCGAATGCAACTGCATAGGACCTCTCTCTGTGTCTCTCTCTCTCTCTCTCTCTCTCTCTCTCTCTCTCTCTCTCTCTCTCTCTCTCTCTCTCTCTCTCTCTCTCTCTCTCACACACCGAATGCAACTGCATAGGACCTCTCTCTCTCTCTCTCTCTCTCTCTCTCTCTCTCTCTCTCTCTCTCTCTCTCTCACCGAATGCAACTGCATAGGACCTCTCTCTCTCTCTCTCTCTCTCTCTCTCTCTCTCTCTCTCTCTCTCTCTCTCTCTCTCTCTCTGTGTGTGCGTGTGTGTGTGTGCAGTTGCAAACTGCAGTCCTTAATGAATCATCGGCTGGAACATGGCAAGATACAGCTCCACATTTTTGTGGCGCTGTACCTCGCCATGTTCCAGCGGAAGATTCATTTACCTAATGCAAGCCTATGTAGCCCAGTCTAACCACAAAATCTCCCTCTTTTTTTCTATTTTTCTTTTCCTTCTCAGAAAAACCTGTCCACGAGAAAGGGAAAAAAAAAAACATGAATCTCACCACGGAACCTAATCCAGCGACTCCAAAGCAATCTAATCTAGCCAATCCAAAGCAACGCGCCACGTGGATCAAATCTAACGACCAACGCCCACGCCAGAACGACAACACAAAAGAAACAAACAGGCCGTCATCAATAATCAATAATCAATAATCAATAACGGTACTCCAAAAACAGAAAAATGGCCGACGCGCAAACGAAGAAGAAATGAAAAGCAAAACGATGCGCTATCCATAACGAATTCCAAAGAAACAAAACCAAGATATTTACCACATCTACTCCCCCCCTTCACCCCGCCCCCAGCGCGCCGCCCGCCCTCACCCCGCCCCCCAGCGCGCCGTTTTCTCGTTTGGTGGCGCGCTGTGAACATTTCGGTACGCATCCCCCCCCCCCCCCCCTCCTCTCTGCACACTCCCTCGCTTCTATCGCCTTCATCCTCTGGCCCTCAGAGAGTTTCTCTCTCGTTTGATGGGGCGCTGTGAACAGTTTGATAGGCACGCCTCTCTGCACACTCCCCCC